GTTAGGAAATTCCTTCAGACATTCTTTTCTCTTCCTTCTTTCAAATACTACCTTTATACCCATGTTCCTATGTGTGATATCCCAGAGTGTCTGAGTCTCTGTTCATTTCTCAGCAGTCTTTTTCACTTTGTTCTCTGAGTTGCATTCTATTTCCCCATTTTCAAGTTTACTGTTTTTTCTTTTTTATTGCCACTTCAAATATCTTCTTTTCCCCATAGTGAATCTTTTATTTTTGTTACAATATTTTTCAAGTCTGGTTAATTTCCATGTTTTAAAAGTGAACCTTTCTTTATTGATACTCCCCTCCTTGTGTTATTGTCATGGTATCTTTCTCTAATTTTCTAAAGAGAGTTTTGTTTGGTACTTTGAACCTAATTATAGTAGCTGCTCTGTATTCTTTCTAGATGCAACAGCTCTGTCTATCCAGAGTCAGTTTCTGTTGACTACTGTTTTTGAAAAATGGAATATATGTTACCTTTTTCTGATTGTTGCATGTTTCACAATTTTTAATTGAACATTTTTATTTTATAACATTGTAGAAAAAAAAAAATTTTTTTTTTGTTTTTTTTTTGGGGAAATTTTCCCCCTTGGGGAAACTTTTTTAAATGACCTTCCTGAAGGTGATTGTTTGGGGGTTTCGTTTTTGTAACTTGCCTGGTTGTAATCTATAGAATCTTTCTCCACAATAGTTAGAAACCCCTAAATTTTGTGTTATTTTTTTAGCATGGCTTCTTTGGGGTTGCCCCTTAGTGTAGCTTATTGGTCAGCCAGTTATTCATTTGAGATCTTTTTGGTACTTAGTCTATGTCTGAGTTAGGAAGTATGTTCAAAATTCAGGCAGTTTTCAAGTTGGCCTCACCTTTGTTTTCTCTGAGGCCTCTGTGTGTGTGTGTGTGTGTGTGTGTGTGTGTGTGTGTGTTTTACTGGAGATCAAACCCAGGGCCTCATGCAGAATAGACAAGTGCTCTATCAGTGAACAACTCCCCCTGCCCTTCTTTTTCATTTTTGAAGGACAGTTTTGGTAAACGTAGAATTCTTGACTGAGTTTTTCATTCTTTCAGTCAGCTAGGGTTGACCAGGGAGCTTATTCAGGTCTTTCATGTTCCTCCCATTTCCAGGATGTCTTGCCAGTCTTTCATTTGCCTCACCTGAGACTACAGGATAGTAGAGATGTGAGCTTCCCCCTCCACCCCCCTTTTTTTGTTTTCTATCAGATTTGCTGTTTTTACTGCCAGTGCCAAATGATTACTGCCAGTTCTAAATGATGGTAGTCCCCTCTGGAAGCACAATTTCCAAATTTTCATGGAAACCATCACGTGGTAAAACTGCCTCACTGAGTCAGGTGGTAGTAGGGGAATGAGAGCATCCTGTAGGCAAGAAGGCTTACTTCACCCTTCTAACTATGGAGTCTGCAATTTTTCATGGGTAATCATACTTTAATTTGTTGTTTCCCTTGATCAATTTCCAGTTCTTTAAAATAGTTGTTTCCTATAATATGCTCCAGTTTGATGGGTGTTTTGCGGGAGTGGATTTCCAGATCTTATCATTCCTCTATAACTAGTAGTCTCCCCTCTTTTAAAACTTTTTTCCTGTTAATACCCAGTGCCTCCTACACCCACTTTAGTTCAATCTTGTTAGGCTTTTGACAGCATAGTTCTACTGAAACCAACATCCTGCATTTGCCATATTGTCAATTTTCTGTTTTAATCTTATTCAACCTTTCTGCAGCTTTTGAAGTAAGTGGTCACTCACTTTTTTTTTTTTTTTTGGAAAACTCTTGGCTGCTCCACTATTTCTATTCCTTTCCATTCCATGAATTTTTCTCCTCCTGTGAACTTCTTCCCTAGGTGACACCATCAGGTCCCTTTGCTTTAAATCCTTTATGCAAATGGCTCTCAGATATATGTTCTTAGACCCAGTTTCTACCATGAAGTCACACCTGGCTTTCTGGTAAGGTTTTAAATTTAATAAATGGATTTTAAGCTTAATATCACCATAGAACTCTTGATCCATGTTCTTCTTCAACTTTTCTCTCTTCAATTTTTAGAATGCTCTCGAAAAAAGTAAACAGATCATAATCATTTCCCTTCTCAAAATCTTCATTCTTTTATTTCCTTTACATTTGGAGTGAAATTCAGTTTTTTACCATGATTGACGAGGGCTTCTATATAATTGCCCCTGCCTACCTCTCTGAACTTACCTTCTAGGAATGATGTAACCATGTTGTCCTACTTCTTGAACATACTAAGCCCATCTCTATATATTTACATTTGGAGTCCCCTGTTATGCCCTTCCCTCAGACCTTCAAATAGTTTGTTACTCTCATACTATACAGTTTTTTGTGAGGATCTCACCACTTTTTTTTTTGTTTTTGGTGGGACTGGAGTTTGAACTCCGGGTTTGATGCTTGCAAAGCAGGTACTCTACTGTTGGTGCCACACCTCTAGTCCATTTTGCTCTGGGGTCTTGTGAACTATCTGTTCAGGCTGGTCTCGAACCACTGTCCTACTGATCTCAGCCTCCTGAATCTCAAGGATTACAGGTATAAACTACTGGTGCCTGGCCCTTGTTAGTCTTGTTCATTGTCATATCCTTAACACTGAACAGGACTGGCACACAATAGGCACTCTCTGTGGAATAGCAGTGTTTCTTATAGCATCGGGGTGTCATTAGCTAACTGATAATGATTCAGTGAAAATAAACAGTGGGATAACTGTGTATTTAATGCATCCCAGGCATGAAAGTTTATTGAACATTGGCTTGAATAATACTTAGAAAAATTGCTCTATTAAATTTACATTTTGGATCATTTAGGGAATTCTGTATTTTTGTAGTACAAGGAACCTAGCACCTTGTGTATGCTACGCAAGTGCACTATCACTGAGTAATACTCCCAGCCCTGAGGAATTTTAAAATGAGTAAATTTAATAAACATCATTTTTAAAGGGATAGAATATGAACAGAAGAGACAAACATTAGGCAGATAAATGCTTAGGTTCCCATCTTTGCTTTATATGGGACTTCTTTTTGATCAAAGACAAGTATGCAGTCTTCTACTTCTGTTGTCTGGGAATAAATAATTCTCTGTTACTTTGCTTAATAAGTAAAAAGCCAGTCAATTTTACTAGCTATATGTTATGGGAGGGATGAGTCTTGCTTTATTGGCAGTTCTCTTTCCAGTCTAGCTACATAAATGTGAATTGGCAAAAAAAAGAAAAAGAAAAAAAACCCCAAAACCAAACCCCACAAAACAAATACTTCCATCAAACAGCTTGAGTTTAGAATGGAAATGGACATAGTTTTTAAACTGTGTTCTGCTCTCTGCTACAGTTAAAACTTAGAGTCTGTTAGCAGTTGTTATCTTTGTGAACGTAATTGTACTCTAATCTCTATTTATTGCTTGGCTATGTGTTTTATAGTAAGTAATAGATTCACAGATTAACATCTTATAAAAGAATTTACGGTATCACAGCATACATAAGCCTCACTCTGAAGTTCAGTTTAAAGGAACATGTGCTAATTTCTGCTCCTGTCTTCTAAAATCTTGAGTCCACTCTGCTCTAGGATAGTTCTGACCAGGATTCTTGGCCTCTGCACAACCTCCCTGTGTTTTTACCTCTTTTTTTAACAGTAATACCATTTCCTTCCCAGTTTCTCAGGTATATATTTCATCTTTTTAGCTCTCTGAATCATATTTTCTAGCCACGTATTTTGGTATATCTAACCTCTGAGAATATTGTTGTAATATATTCTCCTTGTTAATCTATAATGTATTCAAATTTACTATGGAAAAATATGGTAAGAAGTCATCATATTATTTACTGTTTTATTTTCAGGAAGAATGAGCATAACTGTAAAACTTCCCAAACGGAAAACTGTGTGTTCTTCAAACCTATCAGGATTGTGTAATTTCTAGTATGCCAATTTTTAATCTTTTCTAAAACTTAGCAGTTGAGCCATTTCAATTGCGTTAACTCATGTTTCTTTAACTATATCCCAGAAAAAATAATAAGATTGCAATAACTTTTTCACCCCCAGCCTCATTTATTTGTTGAGAAGTTTAGTTTTTTAAATATGGTTGCAAAAAATTATACTAGTAACAGCTTATTTTAGATAGTTTTTATGAACTCTATAGTCAGTGGTTCTCATACTGTCTGTGGCAAAGTACCAGTTTTTATTTCTAATTCACCAGACTGATGTTTTTGCAAAACACAACATCAGTGAATTAGTAGAAAACTGATTTTTTTTTTCTTTTGTGGTACTGGGGTTTGAACTAAGGTCCTTAGGCTTGCTAGACAGAAGCTCTACCACTTGAGCTACACAAATGTCCCCCCACTCCACAAGCCCTGTTTACTTTTTTAAAGTTGTTTTTTGGATAGGGTCTTGAATTTATGCCTGTGTAGGACTGGACTGCAATTCTCCTATTTATGTTTCCCATGTAGGTGGGATGACAGGTGCATGCCACCATGCCCAGCTTTTTCTGGTTAAGATGGAGTCTCCTGAGCTTTTTGTGATCCTCCTATTCTCCACTTTGCAAGTATCTAGGATTACAGGTGCAAGCTACTGCAACTGGCTTGAAAAGCAAAATTTTAACTCAGAATGTAGGTCCCAACTTATATGATCAGTTTCATGGATATAAAATTATTCTGTCAAGTTACTATAAAAGATTTTAAGCATACTCAATTTCTGTATTTATCTAATTGCTGAGGAGGAAAAAATAGATCATGGGCTTGAAATAAATACATTACAAAATAGGATCATACTTCTTTAAGATGGTTCTTGTTGCATAGACTGGTCTTGAATTCATGATCCTCCTGGCCTCAGCCTCTGGAGTGCTGAGATTGCAGGTGTGTATCACCACCTTCAACTTAATATACTTTTTAATAGCGTATCTATATAGCCTGCTGTTTGTAATGTTTAATGTTATTTTAAAAACATCTTAGTCAGTATGGTGAGTAGCTGCTTTTCTTTAAAAATTATTTTCATATGTTTCTTTGCAGAACCGAGAGCTCCAGATCATGAGAAAGCTAGATCACTGTAACATAGTCCGATTGCGTTATTTCTTCTACTCAAGCGGTGAGAAGGTAGGTCTGAAAGAGTGTGGACTAAACACTGCGATAAGCTTGTTATCCTTTTACAAATAACCTCTCCCCCAACTCCAGCTAGTTTCGCTAATTAGATGGAACAATTCAAAACACAGGTTGCAGTGATTCTGAGCTCAAAATATCGCCATTGAATATCATTAGTTATGTCAGGAAAATGTTAATGGAAAGATAATGAGTTTTTAATAATTTTCTTAAAAATTGGGCATGGTGGTATATCCCAGCTCTTCGGAGGTTGAGGCAGGAAGATTTTGAGTCCAGAATGGGCTACATAGTAAGACTGTCTTGAGAGAGAGGGAGGAAGAGAAGGAAGGAAAGAGGAGAGAATAATTTTCTTCTTTTTTAGTGACTATCTCTCTTTAGTTCTCAAGCAAATTTATATCTTTTGTTTAATATCTTTATTAATATCTTTAATTTAATATTTATGTGTCCCTTATGTGCTTATGAAACTCTGATATTTCATATATTTAATGGAGGACCATGTGTTTAGTGGACGTTGATTATAGGTGATGAGGAAGTAGGAGGACTTTGGTAGGAATTGGCCAGGGAAAATGTTGTAAAGGGTATAGTATACAGAACGTATTGTATGTGGTCACTATTTCTGATCACATTTAATTCTGTGAAGGTGAAGGATAGCTAAGTCTGTGCTGTAAACCTCCACATGCTTTCTTTCCTCCCTTGGCCTTTCTCTTCAGAGGATGCAATAACTAATGTCATTGTATTCATTGAAGCTAAAAGCAAAGACAACTAGTTTCTTATGCTTTACCTTGGTGTCTCTGTTCCTTTTTCCCAATTTCAGTCTTTCCTTGTTTTTTTTTCCTTTTCTCTTCTTTTCTCTGTACTGGTTTGGGGCAAAGGGACAGGAAATTAACAACCAAATCATTGATTTTTTTTTTTTTTGGCAAAATTAATATGACTGTGAATAAATTCACTTGACATTTTGGATTTCTCATGTTGTTTGATCCACAATGCCTTTTGATTTCTAGAGTATTCTTTTGATTTTAACTTTTCTAGTGTGAGTTTTTTTTTTTTTTTTTAATTGTCCATTAAGCTGTATTTAGATTTCCTTGGACATTCTTTTTTCCCCCCATAAGAAAACCTGTAGTATGAGAGGATACTTGTGTCTTTAATTCAAGGATGTGACAGTCATGTCTGCTGATCTATAATTACTGTGTGTTATAACTTAAACATTTTTACAACCATAATTAGCAAATCGATCATTTATTGATTGACACTTGCTTTTTTTTTAAGTTTAAATGATGCCTCTGTTTATATAAACCCTCATTAACTATTTTGAGCTCTTTTATTTCTAAACCCATTTACTTGATTCATTCTACATTTTCTTTTATTCTTTTAACTTACCAAACTGCCCATTACTGTCTTTAATCTTATCTGTTTTGGCATGTCTTTACTTTTTCCTGTCCCTTCCCAAATAAGATTATAGAGGATCTGCTGTGTTCACAACAGTTTTATAATGGAATTTCACCTCCTCATGGTTTTTGATATTAGATGCTAGATGTCTTAATACTCCAGGGAGGAAAGTAAAGGTCAGAATTATTTGTTCCATGAGCCATGGTATTACATTTAGATACATTTGCAAAGGCCTCCTTGCAAAGTCCCTAAACATTTTCTCTCAATTGCTTATTTTAGTTCATATAGCATTCCCTATATACCAGGTAATATTTTAATGCTTTACAAATATTAACTTATTTAACTTTTATGAACTTAAAGTGTAGGGCAGAAGGAATATCAAACCTTTGAATGCAAGGTACCTGATGGGTTATCTGTCTGATTTTGGTTTGATGGCAAGCCCTTTCCTTTATGTAATCCTGCCTTGTTGGTGACAGCTGACTGGCTACTATCTAAGTTTCTCACAGTATGAATTCCTCCCTGCTGCTGCTTACAGATTCTGATTTATGTTAAACATTCAGAAAAGTCATTAACAAAAGTTGAAACATACTTTCTAATATTTTATATATCAGAACTTTTTCTTAAGCAATGTAATTTTTCCAAATTAAAAAAAAGACACTTCATAATGTTAGAGAAAGGGAGGAGGAGATACTGCTGAAAATAATTATCTTTGGTCAAAAAAAGGGAACACCATTAGTGGGTGCAGTAGCTCATGTCTCTAATCCTAGCTACTCAGGAGACAGAGCTTGCGAGGATTGCAGTTTGAGGCCAGACTGGGCAAAAAGTTAGTGAGCCCCCATCTCAACCAATAGCTGTGGACATGATGGCACACACCTGTCATCCCAGCTACGCAGGAAACATAGATAATGGTTCAGGATGGCCTGAGCAAAAATTGAGACCCTATTCCAAAAATAGCTAAAGCACAAAGGGCTGGTCATGGCTCAGTGGTAGAGCACCTGCCTAGCAAGCTGATCGCCCTGATTTCAAACCTCATCATCATCTTCTCATCTCCCCAAAAAGGAAAGTTTTCTGAAGATAGACAGAAAACTGTCTATCTTCAGAAACTGGTTTACACAGGTTCCCTTAATCACCAGTTACCAAAAACATCATTTCTTATAGCCCTGCTCATGGTGTCCACTTCTGCATTGTTCTGGCAGGACTAACCTACCATTTAAGAAATCATAAGTAAACTAATTCTATCCATAGGAGAGGATGGGTTCTGCTGTAGAGTTGAACACTCTGATTCTCCAAGAATTGGTTTCCATGCTGGTTAGAAAGGGATCTCAACACCCTTAAAATTCTTACAAATCTTTAAAGAAATTTATTTCTGAATGTCAGTCCTGCTTTTTGGTAGGTACTTTTCTTACATATGCCTGTGTACTGCCTCTGTGTGTGTGTGTGTGTGTGTGTAGAGAGAGAGAGAGGAGAGAGAGATTTGGAGATTTGGAAAGTGGAATTATAAATTAATAGTTTGAGATGGGCTATGAGACATGCAAGTACAGATGTTTGGTGTGTAATTGCAGGACTTTATACATGCTGGGGCCAAGTGGAGGCATGACATTGCTACTATTGCTGCTATTAAAATAAATAAATATTTTAAAAAAATTTACTGAGATTTGTGGCTTAATATCTGGTCTCTCCTGGTACTTGAGAAGAATGTGTATTTTGCTATTTAGAAATGAAATGTTCTATACGTGTCTGTTAGGTCCAGTTTGCCTGTAAGTGTTCAAGTTCTCTATTTCCTTATTGATCTTCTGTATTGACGTTCTGCCCATTATTGAAAGTGGTATAGTAAAGTTTCCAACTGCTATTGTAGAACTGTTCCATCATTCAGTTGTCAGTTTTTCCATTATATATCTAGGGCTCTATTCTCTGATGCATATAGTATACAGTTAATATATCTTCTTCATGAATTAACTCTTATCACATATGTAATGTTCTGGAGTCCTTCTGTTTTTCTTGCCAGTGCTCTTACTAGACAGTGCTCTAGCCAACAGTATAATGTTGACTAAAAGAGGTGAAAGCAGACATCCTTGTTCTTCTCTGTTTTAAGGGGAAAGCATTGTTTTTCATCTTCAAGTATGATGTTAGCTTTGCGTTTTTTACAGATGTCATTTATCAGTTGAAAAATTTCCCTTCTGTTTCAAATTTGATGAAACATTTTAATGATGGAATGTGTGAATTTTGTCAAGCGCTTTTTCTCCAGCTATTCAGATGGTCATGTGGCTGTTGTTCTTTATTCTAAATTAATATTTTAGTACTAGAGTGCCCCCTTTATTTGTGGGGGATATGTTTCAAGATGCCCAATGAATACACGTCCAAAACCATGGACATTACCAAACCCTATATACTAGGGTGTTTTCCTCCTGTAAAAAGTTAATTTATAAATTAGGCACAATGTAGATTATTAGCGGTAATTATAAAATAGAACAATTATAACAATACAATATAATAAAAGTTCGGTATCTGTCTTTGTCTCAAAATATCTTAGTGTACTGTACTCACCCTTCTTGTTGTAAGATAATACAGTACCTACATGATGGGATGAAATAAAGTGAATGATATAGTCATTGAAACGTAGTCCTTGAATGTAAGCATTGCAATACTTTGACAGTTGATCTGATCTCTGAGAAGACTACTGAGTTACTAATGGGTTGGTACTGCATATAGTATAGATATTCTGGACAACAGGGTGATTTGCATCCTAGATGGGACATAATAGGATTTCATGCTTCTCAGAATGGCAAGCAATTCAAACTTATTTTCCATTTAATATTTTTGGACAGCAGTTGATCATGAGCAACTAACTAGAACCATGGGAAACAAAACCAGAATAAGGGAAGAGTACTGTAAATTGGGTTTTGAGTGTTCAACCTACCATGATCTATAATTATTTTTTTCTGTTGCTGGATAGTATTTTTCTGAGGATTTTTTGCATCTGTTTTCATGAGAAATATTGATCAGTAGTTTCCCTATCATGTCTTTGTCTTGTCATGTCTCTTTCTTGATGTCAAGATGATACTGGCCTCATAGGATGACACTGACAAGTGTTCCCTCCTCTTAAAGTTTTTGGAAGAGTTTGTGAAAAATTAGTATTTGTCCTTCAAAAACCTAGTAGAATAATGAAGGGGACAAACCAAACAGAGGGACATTGTGTGCACATATGGAAATGTCACAACAAAACTCACTGTATAACTGTTACATACTAATAAAAAGCTAAAAATTGAAACGGCTTAGTAGATTCCAAGTGAAACCATCTCTAACTGGGCCTTTGTTGCATTCTTTTTTTTTTCCCAGTTGTAATAGGTTCTTTAAATTTTCTGTTTCTTCTTTTGTCCATTTTGGTAATTTTCTGTTTCATCTAAGTTATCTTATTTAAATGCACAATTATTCATACTATTTCCTTGAAATTTCTAATGGAAGTTGTGATGACCTTCTTTCACTCCTACTTCTGATAATTTGAGAAAATGCTCTTTCTCTCCCCCTCTCTCACTTGCCTTCCTTCCTTCCCTCCCTCTCCCTATCCCCTCCTCCCCTTCTTTCTCTTCCTCAGTTTTGTTGTCAGTTTTGTT